TGACGCGGTGACGGAGGGGGCGGCGGCGAGTTATTCTCCGCGAGGCAGGCAGGCGGTTGCGGCTGACAGTTATTCGATTTTGGAGGCCGCGCGCCTGAAACGAAGTGGTTATTGATATCGACGCCGAAAGTGGCAGCCTCCCAGCAGCCGAGTCAGCTCATCCGGAGTGAAAAGCAAGTTAACGGACGGCGTTTTGGTTTCGCTTCTTATTGAATTCGCAGAAAGTTGTTTAGACGTTTATAGCTTTTGCACTGAATCACACGCGGACAATGTACGTATACACTACACCTACTAATAAGTTGCACTGGCAATCCGAGAATAAAAATGTTATGTTATATGACATGTAAAAATATAGATAATGATCAGTTTTTGGCAATGAATAATTGGTGGAAAAATTCCATGTAACGAAGTTACATAAGCGACTTCCACTTTGAATTTTAATCACCTCTGTATCCACGGTATATTCGGCAAGTGCATGAAATCTACTTGCACGTGCATGAGACTGTGTCTAGCCGAACGTCTGTGCATAAAAAAAAACTGCCTGCAAAAAAGGAGAAAAATATAAAGTAACACCGTGTTATGAAATTTACCACTATATGCTCATAGGTAAAGAAGTTACATCTTTGAAGAATTCTACAAAAAACCAAAACCTATGTTTTCGAAGGTTTTAAGGCGCCTACACTGATGAACCTCTGTGGTTGACTACGTTGCTTTTTTGACTGAACGTGATTCCTTAGCAATTGAAACAATGTTGGTTTTTCATTACATTGACGATAGTTAAATCTAATAATGTAATGAAACATTAATTTTGCATTCTCGCCATACTCCGTACTTATGTAGTAAAGAGAAAGTATGTACTGCATATATTACTCCATATATAAGGAGGTATACTAAAAAGTGAAATCTGCCAACTTAAAATGTCGCAGCTCCCGCCCCCGAAGTCACCAAAATAACCTCTTGTTACACGTTTTCACACAACATTTTGTGAACCATTTTTATTCTCACCATCAGGAAAGCATTTTATTGAGAACAACCTAACCAACCAAATAGGTTGTCATACAGTAGTCAAAATAACAACCAAATTATTTTTTCACTATCAACTTGTTTGTATACATATTACAAAGCGGATACAAGATAAATAGATAAGTGTCGTTGAAAACTCATATTTTTATCTAAAAAAATAATTGTGTTTAACTAACGAATGCAATTTATCTTCACCTTCCCACCATGTTGCATTCTAAATTTGGTAGTAATAACTTTAATACTAATTGCAGAGATTTGCTGCTAATGAAAACCTTAAATTAGGTTTAATGCTCTTCTCCATCTTACGTTTATGTTCCTACTCGAAGAGGAGGCACCGCTGCTCTGAAAATTTATTAAAATAAAAGAAGAGTCGAGATCGTGAGTTCAATTGCAGTCAAGGACATGAAGCCGGCACCGGTTAGGAGGTGGGGTAGAGCTTCGTTCCGTTATGAACCGCTAGTTTCGTCGAACGCTAAGCTGTTTCAAAAACGGACAAAATGAAATGGATGCTCCATTTGGCTCTGTCATTTAATGTTTTAGTATTTTTAAGAAATCATACTTGCATAACTGTGGCAATATTTTGTTTTGATACATTTATAACATGTTTCTGACCACACTTATCCCTTTTTCACCATCTTGGAGGTGTTGATTTAGCAAACTGAAAATGAGAGCTAGTGATTACGATGGTAACGTCAAGTGAAATTTGGAGTAGATCGACTAATTGGGAGGTCAAACGAATTTAAAGGATTCTAGGGTAGTAGGTATCGAATGACGGGTATAAGATCGGTATGGAAGATCAAAATAAATATCGACTCCAAAATCCGGTATGCGACCTCAAAAGTCAAAGTATAGATCCTAAGGAGTAGACGATCGTCGATTATTCGAAGTAATGCATGCTTTGTACTCGGGAGGTGACGATTTTCCCCCGTTGTATGGCGAGATCGGGCGTCCACACACCGTCCGTTGGCGGAGTTTTCCCAACGAAGTATCTCCCACTAGCGGGCACCGTCCCAGTCGGGACAAGCTCCCAGCTACCTATCGGTCTCCTGACATGAGTTGTAGTGTAAGTCCTGACAGCGTAAGTATAAGTAAGGGGTGAAGATAGATAAAAAAAAAGGAAGGGAAGATAGCGCGTGTTCCGCGGACCTTTTGGTAGGTTACTGCTCCGTCATTCCCCTGGTCTTCATCGGAAAAACAAAGCTAGAATTCTCCTTCAGT